TATAAAAGTGTATATATTATTCTACTATGTATAAAAATTATAAATACATTATTATAATATTAGACCTTAGTTCAAGCCCGTGCACTGAACCAATCCATATAATTTCTCATTTTCTCCAAGAGACAATTATTGTATCATCTGCTTCTTAATTTATCAAAAAGACACTACGCTTTTCCCAGCTCTTCACTTGCATTTGGTATGTGGCATGCATATATTTTAGGATATAATTTAGCACGCATTATATCTGTGTCTGAATAATATATTTTATGATCAATATTCATGTTATACATTGTAACATGCATATTAGTTACCTGAAAAAATAATTTTGCGTTATTGATCAAAGTATGAGAATATTAGAGTTTGCTATAAGATTGTCAAATTAAACTACTACCTAATATTTAAGATTTTCATTTAAAACTTTGAAATTAACCAAAAGTTTGTTTTTAAAGAAATTTAGATATCATATTTAACTACTCAAAATTATCTTTTATAAGGATTTATGTCCCAGTCACGTTTGACAACGAATTGCAATGGAATTGAACTCTTCACAAGTTTAAATCTTTTTGGAGACCAACTAAACATAGTTATTTTGCCTAGGAGATTTTTTTTTTTTTACCTCAATTAATGGCTCTACAAAGAAGAGCCGTTAATTTTGCCTTGTTTTGCATACGGTAAGTTTGGGCTAGCCAGTATAATTTGTTTGGGGTTATGAATTATCTGACTAATATTTATGGCTATCAGATGCTATTAATTTTCTACGACAGGCTAAAAGTGAATTTAGCTCGGTAAAATTTCCTAAATTATTTTTACATTCTTATTCCATATAGAAAACTGTATTACCCTCACTGTTTAAGGTTTGATATAATTACATTTAGTATACCTAATTACCATTTATATACCATTAGTGGTTTTTAAGGGCATTAATTACACTCCTAATTTAATGATACCGTATTCTAATACCACTCCCCCCACGTTTCTCTCTCCAATTCCCACACCTTCACCCACATTTCCCTCCCACACCCATGATTTCTGTATCAAAATCCCATTATTTCTTCCATAGCCAAGGCACTGTCGGCACCTCTGCAATCTTGTCCCAATGTTTTTGTGCCCAGGAAAGATGAGCACAAGCCTGGTCGATTTGATGATTATGATTTCGGGTTCCTTCAGTAATATAAGAGGAAAGGAAAAGAGAGCAGCAATTCCACCATTGACAGCCATTAAAAAGCTTTGAATTCAAATTTGGGTTTTCAAGAATCATTATTTGTTTGGAATGGGTGTTGTTGTAAATAATTGAGAATATGGTTTGGAGTTTATATCTCAATTTTGAGGAGTTTTGGTGAAGATTAGACTTGGTTTTGGCTGAATTTCAGATTGAAACTCGAAGAAGGAGAAGAAAAAGACATGGCGTACATTATATTGCAGCAATTGTAGATAAATTGTAGACTGTTGTTTATTTATTTTTGAGCGTTTGTGTTTTTGTGTTAAAAGTTTTGATGGGAGCTTGTTATTCCACTTCGTCTGTTTTGGAGCTAACTTGTGCAGAGGAGAAGATGTTTTTTAAGTTATATATATTGCTATACCTTTAAATTCAAGAAAGTATGGTTGTATTGTATTTAAAGAGGCGTGAATTTGTAGAATAAGTTGAATGTGAGTAATAAGTCAAATAAGACTCATAATGGCTTGTTTTCTACATTTAGTCTACAACAAAACTACATATCATTTGAAAAAATAGTATGAAAAAACAGAATTTTAATGTTTCTACAAATTATCTACAAAATTTCTACAAACTGTTCATAACAGAATTTATCTTTATTTTCATGCATGTTCGTCTATAACACTAAAGTTACTTGATATGCCAACATCTCCCGTTATAGAGGAATACAACTTATCTGTAATTTTCTACAACTTTCACACATTATTTCCACCCAGTTAAATATAACTACAATAACATAAAATTTGAGCTTTGTGTTTTTGTGTTAAAAGTTTTGATGGGAGCTTGTTATTCCACTTCGTCTGTTTTGGAGTTAACTTGTGCAGAGGAGAAAATGTTTTAAGTTATATATAGTGCTATACCTTTAAATTCAAGAAAGTATGGTTGTATTGTATTTAAAGAGGCGTGAATTTGTAGAATAGGTTGAATGTGAGGAATGAGTCAAATAAGACTCACAATGGNTAAAACTTACATACAAATTTTATACAAAATTTATACAATATATCTTTTGTATATTTTGTATCTGATTTATACATAGTAAAAATAATTTTCATACAACTAATTATATATTATACAAATTATCTACAATTTTCGTACATTATTTCTACTAAGTTATATACAACTACAATATAATACCACTTAAATATAATTTTTATACAATGTTGTTCAACTTTCATACAATAGTTAAATGAATAAAAGAAAAATAAATAAATAACATAATACAATTTTTCTTCGACTTCGAGTTTCAATCCGAAATTCAACCAAAACTAAGTCTAATCTTCACCAAAACCCCTCAAAATTGAGATATAAGCTCCAAATCATATTCCCAATTATTTACAACAACACCCAATCCAAATAAATAATGATTTTTGAAAATCCAAATTTGAATTCAAAGCTTCAAAACTTTTTAATGGTTGTCAATGGTGGAATTGCTGCTCTCTTTTCCTTTGCTTTGTATTACTGAAATTTGGACATAATTGCGTTTGATGTAGAAAAATTGTAGAAGATTTAGTCATTTTTGATTTGTAAAATCAGAAAAAAGTTTGAAACACGGTATATCGAAAAAGCAGAGACGCTAAATTTGAAACGAAACTGACGAAGAAGATGAATGTGCGTGTTTTGCGTTGTGGAAGATCTGGAAGAATATTTAATCCCCCAATTTTAGCGCGCTTAAATAAGGAAGCCTACAGCTACTATGATTCCTTATTTAATGCATTGTCTATATTATGTAGAAATACTATTAGCATGAAGGGTAATATGCAAACTATGAACATATTTGGTAATATAGTTTCCTATATGGTATATGAACGAAAATTTCCCTATCTAAATCAAAAGGATTTTGGGCCGAATGTGGATAAAGAATTGGGCTTTATTAAACCGGAGAAAAATAAAAAATATCCAGATTTACAAGTGGTCATTCAAAAATAGCCACAGTTTTAAAAGTAATCAAAATTTAGCTACTTTTCATGTAAAGATAAATCTGAACAAAAATACTGTTCAAAATCCGAAAAATACTCCATCATAATATACTGGAGTTCAGCATAAGTAAACTGGAACTCCAACATATTATAATGGAGTTCCAGCATAAGTATACTGGAACTCCATCATAAGTATACCGGTCCAGTATATGCTGGAAGTTCATATACAGCTGCTTCAATTTCCAGTATATTATGCTGGAACTTTCTGGGTGTTGGAGTTCCAGCATAATATGTTAGAAGTTCATACATAGGTGCACTGATCTCCAGTATATTATGTTGGACCGGTCTCTGTTGCAGCAAAATAGTAGCTATTTTTTAATGACTTTACAAACGCTGACTATTTTTGAATGACCAATCCGAAAACTGGCTAGCCCGTGCTATTTTTACTATTAAACCTCACTAGCCCAAAACCACAACGGCCCATCTTTAATTACGCGCGACCTTCTTATTCAGCTCAACTTCCCCATTTTCAAATGAGCTGCGAACTCGTTTCACTTTCTCTTTCTCCGGCGAAATCGATGTAAGTTACCTTCTTCCTTTCTCTCTCTTCCTTCAGCTACATTTTTTCTTTCAACTTATTCAGCTAGATTTCCTCTAGAGATAAAAATCCTAGTCCATTTTTCGAATGATTTGATTTTGCTTGTTAATGAAGAAGTGCATTGGCAAAATTATGGAATTTAACTTAATTGTTAATTTCATGACTGCTAGTTTCATCAATTATCCGATCTCATTTCTCGATGTCGACTACATTTCTTTGCTCTTTCAATGAAGAATCGTCGGGATAATTTTGGAGAGAATTTACTCAGTTCTCTTAAACTCACAAGTATGAGAAGTGATTTTATTTTTGTAAATCTAAAACTTTGAGCGTGCAGCAATTTCTATTTTCTTCAGCCTTGGGATTCTGCTGTTTCCATTTTGTGTAGTTTTGATTAAGAGTAGTCCTATTCTGCTTCTAGGCGGTCAGAATTGCAATCTGTAACGATTTTAGCCATATTTTTGTCTCTACATTGATCCGTAGCTTGTTCCGATGAATTTGTTTGTTTCATTGGCATATTAACTAGTTTGCATAACTTATCAAATATATATCATTTTGCTAGTTGGATGTCATTGATATAGTTTGGAGGAAATGATCTCCCGTGACTATTTACAATTTGAATAGAAGAAAATGATCCTCATCTCTTTCGGGTGCGCGGGGGAATAGCTCTTCTAGCATCAGCATGGATTGACCGGAGACTGGGAGTAGTCGTCATCTTTTTCCATAGTAGTCATCTAGCAAGAAAGGGAAAGACCACTTAGCGCAGTGGAATAGAAAAGAGAGGGTCGAGCACAACTTACGTGTCACCAGAAATCTTTTTTCGTTTATTGGGAGACTGAATGAAAAAGGCCTCTCGTTGATCATTCCTATGTTTCGGTGCTTGCCTTTTCTTTTAAGAATAAAGATCTTCATCGATCTCCACTACGACTGTCACTCCTACAGGATCGGGATACTTTTTTTACATATTACGAGAAGGTCGTTGAAGTAGGATCGCTAGGGGGATAGTCCAACGGTACTCCTTGCCTCTGGTGACACAATTAACCAAAGGGGACCGACAGACAACTTGTTTAGTAAAGTCTTTTATCTTCCATTCAGGGGTCATGAATGATTAACAGAAACGAAGGGTGAGTGCAACGAACTAGAATTTTGGACCAGTCTTGTAGCGAATAAAGGAAAAAGGTCCCGGTAGGGGTNGCAACGAACTAGAATTTTGGACCAGTCTTGTAGCGAATAAAGGAAAAAGGTCGCAGTAGGGGTTAGCAGCATCGGGAGGCGGAGGTGTAGGCGACAACTGTTTATAGGTTGCTCGATCAGGCCAAATAACCGATTTTGAGTCTGCCTGAGATTGCCATAAGACCTTCTCCCTATGGAGCAATCAATGAATTCCGGTGAAATAGAAGATCTACGTGACCAAATTTTCCTGGTAAAAAGAGGATCTCTCTTCTTCTTCATTCTCAAGAGGAATGCATCAACAAAACTTCCCTTCCATATAGATCGTCGTGGCATGAACTTATTTCTTCGCTTCGATTCCGCCCCTAAAGCTAGCTCCTACTCCTCCTCTAACAAAGATCTATTGTGTTATATTATACTGATTGCCAGTGACGATGGCCATATAACTAATTCAACATTTGTAATGTGCCATATAACTGACCTCCCACTATAATTTGTGGATTTCCTTAAAAAAAATTCCCTTTTGGGATTGGATTTAGTAACTAAATATTCAATTTGCTTAGTCAAGTATCAGCATATATATATGAAATAAATGCACAAGCAAATGAGATATATCACAAATTAGGTTTGACATAGTTATCTTATTTGTTCTCTAGTTTATTGACAACTTTGTATACGTGTCATATTTGTCCAGTTTCTGCAATTACAGATCAAGAATGGAAATAGAAGTTGCTGATCTCACAAATAAGCACATGAAACCTTCTGTACACCCTCTATCCACCTTAAGTTTTTTGACTACTATGATATTTTTCCTGACAGATGGTAACGTGCTACTAGGTGGCAGATAGTGAAACAACAGAGAATAATATCGAAGTAGCAAAGGATGCAGAAGAAGAAAATGCTTTGATTCCCGTCCCTATGGCTTCTGAACAGATGGAGGCGGAGATTGCCAATATTCTTGACAAGATGAACCATTTCACTCAGCAGGTATGTGTACTAACTGTTATACCTCATATAGCTTGAAGTGGTAATATGTCAAAATATAGGACAAAGTGGTTGAAAGACCTGCCTAATTCAGTGTATGATGGAATTTTGATGTTGCTAAAATAGCGTCGAGCATTTACGTTTGCAAACATGCCAGTGAAAATATTGATTTACTGTAGTTCCACATGTTTATATAGTTGATATCCTTTTTGTTATCAATTTGAGAAGGTATCTGAACTGCTGGAGTCAGGGAAGTCCATGCTTAAGGAGCTGAGTTATGAATTTGAAGAACGGTTGATTCAGTAAGTGAAAGTTAAGCAAGTACTTAGACATGAATTGCCTTGTTTTCTGAACCATATTGTTTGCAGAATACACAAGGAACAGATGGAAAAGTGGCAAGAAGAGATTAAGGAACTGCGTTCACTTGACACAGCAAATGAGGAGGCTGATGCTCTGTTGCTAAATGCTAAATATCTACTTCAGAATGTCCATGGTGAATCCTGAGCTTATGCCGTAGTTGAATGTAACTTTTCAAGAGGTAAGTTGTCCATAGTTTGCTGGGTAATTGACATTTTCTGCATTCATAGTGCCCTAAGTTCTCAGGAAATAGTAACAAAAAATCAAAAACGTTTTCCATGTTCTGCAGGAGCATAAGAGTACCTTAAAGGAACTTCTTTGATGAAAAGCTGCTTACTTAGTTTACCATGTGATAAAGATACAACCTAAAGAACTTGGTGCTGGTTCATTTGCACGTAATATTGCAGTTTGTGTGGGGAACTCTTTGGTGCAATTTATAGTTGAAAATTGAAATGCCTTTTTCCGAGATAAGATTCTTCTAACTTTGTCACCAATCTGATGTCTTATGCCATATATGCAGCCACGCTAAGTTGTTTCTAGAATTCTTCCTCTCTCCACGTATGTTTCTGTGTTTAACTGGTCCAAGTAGAGGGCCGTTAGTGAATTAGGGAAAATATGAATATATGATACAAAAAGGAAACAGTGAAGGAGAGTTTTTGACCAATATTGTCCCTTATCTTTGAGGGTAGGTCTATTTTGGTCCCTCAAATATAACCGTTAGCATATTTAGTCCCTTAAGTATGCTAAAGCGGAGCACCTTTAGTCTCACTGACACAATATGTTAAAAAACTAACGGTGTTACCCAACTCTGATTCATGAAGCAAATCTTCTACTCAGAAGCAAAACGCTTCCTCTCCTTTTACTGGATAATGCAAATTATCACTTTAATTCCTCATTTTTAGATAATGTCTTCTAAAATTTTGACCTTGAAAATACAATTGTTCAATGAGAAAATGACATTGTATAGCCGCTGTAAAATAATATCCGAAAAATGTATAAAAATTGTATATTTTTGTATATATATATATATACATACATACATATATACGTTTTAAAATTTTCAGCCAATTTTTCCAAAATGAAAAGTTAAAATTTGAAAAAACAGAGCTGTCAGAATCACTTCTAAGCATATTATTGAAGCAAACGAATAACCAGGTTGTATTATCACTTTTAACCCGTGCCAGACACTATTTACATGAGGAAAAAGTATTTAAAATTTATATAATTTTTGTATATTAACATACGAAGTGTGTGTGTATATATATATATATACAAATTTTATATATTTTTGGCTATTTTTTTAAAACAGCTATACAATGTCATTTTCTCATTGAAAACTCGCACAGAAGGGGATATTTTCAAGGTCAAAATTTTAGAAGACATTTTCTAAAAATGAGAAATTAAAGCGACAATTTACGTTATCCAATAAAAGGAGAGAAAACGTTTTGCTTCAAAGCATTCGCTTCGCGAATCAGAGTTGGGTAAAACCGTTAGTTTTTTAACACTCTGTGTTAGTGAGACTAAAGGTGCTCAACTTTAGCATACTTAAGGGACTAAATATGCTCAGGCTACCAAAATAGACCTATTCTCAAAGATAAGGGATAATATTGCAAAAACTCAAGGTATGTTTGTTGGCAACTTCTAATGAAGGACAAAGTTAAGCGTGAACGTGTGATAGTTGAGGAGCAAATTTGGACCTTTTCCCATTTCGTTTCTTGTCTAAAGAAGAAGAAAGAAAGAAAAGAAAAAGCTTCAGGCAACAAGTAAGATCGTGGCTGTCACCTGAAGTATCTGTGTACGAAGAATTGTAACTCGGTAACCATACATGTTTAATGATAAAATCCTTAAAGAATATTGTGAGCTGATGTACAAGACACTTTTTATTTACAATTCTGTGCTGTTTTCAGCTGTTACCATGATTCCATCTTCTTACTTAAAGATGCAAAACAAGTGATTTTTTCAGGTGAAAGCACAAGAAAAGAAAAGGAAAGTTAACAATCAGTAGGAAATAAACAGAGTTTTTCTCTGCTTTCAGCCAGTCTAAAATTGTCAGCTTGAACTTCCACTAATTCGAACCACACCGTTCAATCTCCACAAAATTTTTAGAAAAAGGGGATGGACGAACCAAATTAATAGTCCAAATTAAAGAGGAAGCAAAGCAGTGAAAAGAAACTTCCATAAAAGATAAAACTAGAGGATCATGACCATCAAAATACTTACAAAAATCATATTTATGGAAAACTAAATCTAACCAATAGACCCTATTGCATGACCTGTACTACTAAGCTAATGAACTGTCTATATTTAATCTAGCTGTCGCCGACGGAGATGGGTTGGCCGGAGTTCAGTCCAAGGCGTGATCTCGAGTGTTGCCTGGTCATGACAACCTCTCTTGCTAGAACCATTTTCATCTCTGGCTGTTTCAGGGACCAGTCAATGACATGGTTCTTGAACTCTTCCTGCTTAATCTTCTTCACTTGGTTGTGGACGAGATGATCACCCTTGTAGTTTTGTTCCAAAAATCTGTCTTCTTTTTTTGCCATGTTGCTCTTCTTCTTCATCTCCTCCATATGAACTGACCAAATAACCAGAGTCTATTGTATGATAAAGGACTTTGATGTGTTGTGTATAAAGACTTAGGAGTAATATATATATTTATATTGGGTTTGGCCTCCAACCCCCAACTTACGACCAACCCCAGGTGGAAGAAACTTGGCCTTGCGAATCAGAATGTGGAACGTGCTTAATTTAATGCGAATTAAAAGGAAAATTCAGAGTTAAGACGACTGTTTAAGACCATATACAGGATTATTTGACCGAAGATTAAGCTACTGACCCCACGTGTACTCGTCAAAATTTGCTTCATCATTATCATGTTTTGGATAAGTTGTAAAAACGTGACCAAAACAAATCACGTTTGAAAATCCATAAGAAGTAAATCTTTTTATCTATCCGTACTCCCTCTGCTCCACTTTAATTATTATTTTTTAATATTTTCATACGTATAAAGAAATTTACTTTTTAACATTAATTATTAATAAAATTGATCATATAAACCTTAATTTATTTATTAAAAATATAACAAAAATATTAGTAGTTTTTTTTTACTCCAAGAGCAATTTTGGAAAAAAAGTTAATTCCTTCTTGATATTTTAAAAAAATCAAATATTATGGACGACAAAAAAAATAAAAAAATCATTAAAGTGGATCAGATGGAATATAATTTAATCAGTTGTAGCAACTTAGTTATATATTTTTTCTATATTACTAACTTATACTTATAGCCTGTTTGGCCAAGCCTCTCCATCTCCAAAAGCACAAAAAAGTTTTTTTTTTCAAAGTTGAAGTGTTTGACCAAGCTTTTAGAAGGAAAAAAAAAGTATTTTTAAGCAGAATCAGTTTTGGAGAAACATAAAAAGTAGTTCTCTCCAAAAATACTTTTTTGAAAAGTACTTTTGAAAAAAATGCACTTAAAAATAGTTTTTAAAAAGTTGATCAAACACTAATTGCGGCTCTGAAGTGCTTTTAATTAATTAACTAAACACAAACGGATTCTCAACCAAAATACTCTTGAGAAAAAAACACTTCTCAAAATACGATGATTTTTGTATCTTGACCAAACATGCTATTAGTCACTTGCTATAAAAAGTACTTATTGTAAAAAGTACATGTGAGTTCTAATTGTTTGTTAAATAATTTTATACTATAATTTATTTTCATTATCAACGCGTCAAAGTTAAACCATATCGTATCATTACAATTACATTGTTCTTGTACCTTTCTTTAAGCTTCTCTCATGGCTAATGGTCACTTTGATATCGTTTATTTCATATTAAACGTTGCATTAGGTGGGTACTAGGGTTTTACCATTTTTAAAAATTACATGTCTTTGCTTTTCACCGTCTGTAATTTCAATGTGTTTGCAGTTTCCTTAACGTGTGAACACTTAGACTGACTCGAGTCTTAGGTTTGGTTGACTTTGGTCAAAAGCAAATGTTCTATGATAGTATGTTTTGACCATCTAGTTTGGTATATTATTTGAAGAGTAGATTTTTCTTCATTCACAATCAAGAAAAGGAAAATCTTCACTTCTAGAACATGATTCAGATTTCAGGCTAACTTTTAGCAACAGTTCAAATATGAAAATTGATCCTTGAGAAGTCTAGCTCTGCCGGTTAAAGTTCTATTTTCCTATGAAATTGACATAGTAGTGGTTTTGACCAATTAACTTCGTTGGTGGCACTAGTTCGAATTCCCTTGACTTGATCGTGTATTTATTTTTTAATATTCTGAACCACCTTGGTCTGGTGGCCAATACATGTGTCTACATGGACTGGAAGTAGGGGTGTACAAAGAAAACCGACAAATCGCACCAACCCGATAATCTAAGTCAAATCGAGAAAAAAAAATCGGCTATGGTTTGGTGTTGGGAAAAAAAATTCGACCATAATTGCTTTGGTTTGGTTTTTTAAAGAAAGTCAAACCGAAACCAAACCAACCCGACATTATATATATAGAAATTTTAGATATAAATATACTTATTGTGATGTAATTTATAAATATTTCTTAAAAATGTTCATAATTTTATCTTTTAAGGTATTATTTCAAGGTTGTACTTAAAACTTTTGAATATTCCAATAAGTTTTATAGCCATTAACATTAGTGTAAAAATTGCACGGGGCGCCCTATTTGATCGCCCCCATTTAACCTATACTCATTTTTTTAAAAACTTTTAACTTGTACCCACTTTTTAAATAATTTCAGCCCCCTTTCTCCTCCTCCTCCTCCTCCTCCTCCTTCTCCTCCTTCTCCTCCTTCTGCTCCTCCTTCTGCTCCTCCTCCTTCTCCTTCTTCTTCTTCTCCTTCTTCTTCTTCTCCTTCCTATTTTCTATCTAGCTTTTACTCCTGAATGATGAACTTCAGGTTTGTATATTATGTTATCGTTCCATTGAAAAGAAAAGGAATTGAGAACTGGGCCATAACAATTACAGTAAAAGAATCCAGGTAAAAATTATGTGAAAAGTGTGTCATTTGGGGTAGTAAACATACAATGAACTAAATAACTTCAGCTCTATAGCTGAAGTTTCCCAGTTACAAAGACAAAACTTCAGTTCTTGCTGAAATTTTTGTCTTTGTAACTGGGAAACTTAGCCATAATTGCTGGTTTAATTATGGAAATTATACCACCTTGGGCAGTTCTTGCTATAGGTGCAATCTTGAACTTTTTTGGTTACTTCATGATATGGTTGGCTATAACAGGACAAATTTCAAAACCCCATGTTTGGCAAATGTGTTTGTATATATGCATTTGGTGCAAATTCTCAGTCATTTGCAAATACTGGTACAACTATTACTTGTGTCAAGAATTTCCCTAGTAGTCGAGGCATCGTGTTAGGACTATTAACAGGTGCAGTTGGCCTAAGTTGCGCGATTATGACATAATTGTACCCGCTCTAGAGCTGAACTTCAGGTCCGGCTACTAAAATGCTGAAGTTTTGCGTGATTGCCTTTGCTACTTCAGCCTCGTATGCTGAAGTTATGCGAAAAAGCGGGTACACTTGTAATTATTTTTGCAAAGCGGGCACAAGTTAAAACGTGACACAAAAAACAGGTATAGATGCAAAAGTCCCAACATTAGTAAATTAAGTAATGCTAACAAAAGCCCAAACCAAAATCAAATCAATACTAATACTAACAAAAGACATTCAATTCAACACTACGAACAAAAATGTATTGAATATCTATTTTTTGTTTTGCAATAATTTAGATAAAAATGCATAACCTATTTTTATTTTTTCTTTAGCGTTTAGTTATGTAATTAATACTCTCTCATTAGTCTACTTATTTTAGAATAACTTATTACTTTTAGATTATGTCTATTTTTATTATGACTTTTTAATTAGCAATATTTATATTACATAATTTTATTGCCTTTATT